ATTATCTTTGGGAACTGCATCCTACACAACTATAACCATTCAAGATGATGACAACATTTGTAACCAAACATCTAGATGGAATTTCAACAAGAAACCAAACCCAATCTCTCGTATTACAAAGAAAGGTCTTAAAGCCAGGAGAACAAAAACGCCAATCACGCCTAACAATCCTCTCTTATCGGAATGGATCCAAGAAAATGCCATTAACTCAGAAAATTTGGCTCCTCATGATAGCACAAATCTTGCTATAAACCATGACCATCCAGTGGAACAGAGTGACCAATATCAGACTCAAGAAATTGAACAGAAAGAAAAGGGGATAATGTGTAGTAATAATCATTTGTCTCATTAATATGAAGATTATGTTTTGGAACACCCAAGGGGTTGTTAAACTCTCCTTTAGGAGACATTTCAGAGACTGTGTGAATATCCACAAGCCTAAGATAATAGCTCTGCTGGAAACGTACACGAATGGTAGAAAAGCAGACAAAATTATCAATAATATGGGATATAATAATTCCTTTAGAATTGAAGCTCAGGGACACAACGGAGGCATTTGGGTGTTATGGGATAATTCGGTTGAGGTCAAGATGTTGAATTTTTCCAACCAATATGCCCATGCAGGTTTCAAATGTATGAACAGTGACCGTTGGAACTACTTTACAACAGCTTATGCTAGCCCCCACCCAGCCATTCGGTGCAAGTTATGGGACCTCCTCTCTAAGCTTAAACCTTACAATAGTGACCCCTGGATCCTGGGGGTGATTTTAATTGCATTCCGAAACCTGAAGAGAGAATTGGCGGTAGCAATCTTTACAGAAGAGGGAGTAAACACTTCCAAGACTTCATGTTTAACAATGGATTGATCGATGTTAACTACCAGGGTGATGATTTCACATGGCGTCGGGGTAACCTTTGGCAACGTCTTGATCGGTGTATTATGAATATGAAGTGGTTAGAATTGTACTCGGAAACTAGGGTGCACCATCTTGACCGTATTGGATCTGATCACTGTCCTATTATTCTCCATACTATCAGCCCCACCAATTATAATAAGAATAAACCTTTCCATTTTTTGGAAGCTTGAATGAACCACCTCGACTTTGAACATTTTCTTAAAGAAGAGTGGGTTAAGCACGATAGGTGATTGGAGAGTCTCAACCATGTCAAGCAACGTATCAAGGTTTGGAACAGTAAAACTTTCGGCAGTATTAATCAGAAGAAGAAAATGATCATTGCTTGTTTAAAATGAATAGATAAAGCCCTACGCAAATACAACTCTGCCTGGCTTTCAGCTGAACTCAAAACCAAGCTTGACACTATTTTGAGACATGAGAAACTGCATTGGGCTCAAAGGGAAAGATGCAAGTGGATTAAGCACGGAGATAAAAATACCAAATATTTTCACTCTTGTGCGATAGCCAAAAGTAGAAAGAAGTTTATTATAGCTCTAAAGATGGACTCTGAAACTTGGTGCGATAATAAGGAGATTCTTAAAAACCATGTCAAGGAATTTTATGAGAAGTTGTTCACTAGTGATCTTTCGCTCATCCAAACAGTTGATACTCGGGGTCTTTTCCCTAAGTTGAAACATGATCAATGGGTTTGGAAAACCTTTTGATAATAACGAGATCAAAAAGGCTCTTTTCAGTATGGGTTCCTTCAAAGAACCATGAGTGGATGGCTTTCATGCTAGCTTCTATCAAAGAAATTGAGACACGGTTGGCGAGAAAGATTACTCTCTAGTTAAACAATGTCTGAATGTTGGACATATAGATGAATCTTTGAACAGGATGATCCTAGTCTTACTCCCCAAGGTTGACAATCCTGAGAGAATTTCTCAATTTAGACTCATAAGCGTATGTCATGTTATATACAAAATTAGCACAAAACTCATAGTCAACCGCATTAATCTTATTCTTCTGAAAATCATTTCCAATAGCCAAACGAGCTTCATTCTGGGCAGGGTTATCACTAACAATATTATATTAACACAAGAAATTATTCATTCTATGAAGAAGAAGAAAGGTAAAAAATGGTGGTTGGCCATCAAAATAGACCTCGAGAAAGCCTATGACATATTAGAATGGTCATTTATGAAAGACATCATCGAAGACTCGGGAATTTCTCACAAGATTAAACTTGCAGTAATGAATTGCATTAGCTCCATGACAATACAAATTAATTGGAATAGGGAACTTACAGAGTCGTTCAAACCTTATAGGGGAATTAGACAGGGCGATCCATTATCGTCGTACCTGTTTGTCATCTGCATGGAAAGATTAGAGCAAGCGATTTCATTGGCTGTGGAACAAGAAAGATGGAAACATATCAAACTTTCTCAAAATGGCCCATCCATTTCTCACCTCTTCTTTGCAGACTATCTCATTCTCTTCACGGAAGCTGATATCTCTCAAATAGAAATTATTCAAAGAACCCTTAAAATTTTATGTAGTAATTCGGGACAGAAAGTGAACCTACAAAAAACCAATATCTTATACTCCAAAAATGTTAAAGAACAGACAAGGGATACTATAACCAGTCACTTGGTATTAAGGACGTAAAGAATCTTGGTATCTACCTTGGAGTTCCCCTGCTTCATAGTAGGATTAACAAACAAATCTATAGCAACATTATCCAAAGAGTTAAAAACTGCCTTACAGGTTGGAAAGGTAAATCCCTATCATTGGCGAGAAGAATTCTGCTCACTAAATCGATCATCTCTTCTATTCCATCCTACACCATGCAATCAATTTTGATTCCCAATAGAACTTGCAATAAGCTTGAAAGGTTAACTAGAAACTTTATTTGGGGACATACTAATGAGAAAAAGGGGTGTTCACCTTGTGTGCTGGGATGTGCTCTGTAATTCAATCAAAGAAGGGGGACAAGGCTTAAAACACCTAAGGATCCGAAATGAGTCTTTCCTCTTTAAAATAGAATACAAACTTACTAATAGACCTGATCTTTTGTAGGTGCAAGTGATGCGAAGAAAATACAAGATGAACGAGATACTACCCGAAGAGTTGGAAAAAAAGGGAGGCTCTCATTTATTGAACCACATATGCTCTTTATAGACCAAGTTCAAGCAGAATATATGATGAAATATTGGAAATGAGAATCGTGTGGAATTCTGGCATGACATATGGTTAGGCAATACGTGAGCTATCCAGGTATTATAATCAGCCAATGAAAGCGGAATATGACAAGTCGAAAGTCAAGGATATGGTCACTCAGAGTGGTAGTTGGGATTGGAATAAGTTAACAATGTTACTCCCGGCACAGGTTATTAGCATTCTGAAAGCCACGCCACCTCTAGTGGAAGAGAACCTTTCAAACTCTCCGGGCTGGATTTCCTCGGAGAAAAGGGTATTCTCAGTCAAATCTGCATACAATTTAATTGTGAACAATAACAGTACAGTGGAAGTAAATATATGGTGCATCATTGCCAAGCAGAAAAACCTTCCAAGGGTTAAAACGTTTTTATGGCTTACTGGAAGAAGCAAAATACTTACCAATTCAGAGAGAGCACGCATGCACATGACGGTTGACGGAAGATGCCCTATGTGCGGTTACGAGACTGAAGACATAAACCATGCGCTGAGAATTTTCCCAACAGCCTTTTCGATTTAGGCTGATCTGCTAGAACCGGGAAAATTGGAGCAATTCCTACGTAACAACATCGATAATTGGATCATCGAGAACCTCAAACAAACACAGTCCCCATCTTCAAGAGTTGAGAACTGGCGTACCTTCTTCAGCTCAACAATCTAGTATATTTGGAAAAGAATAAATCAGACTATATTTGACCTAGAAATGATTGAAAGAGATTCAATTATCCAACAAGCTCTTTGCTTAACTCATGAGATATTGGACTATGAAACAACACTCTCTGGTAACTCTCACATTAGGAATAATATACGGATTAAGTGGCATAAACTTGAAATCAATTAGTGTAAGATTAACACCGATGGCACCAACGTGTGGAGTGGTTGTGAGGGACCACAATGGAGTCTGGCGTTGGGGATTTGACAGGAAAATAGGAATTTGCACTGTCCTGGAAGCATAATTGTGGGGCATTCATGAGGGTTTAAAAGTAGCTTGGATGATTAGGAAAGAAATGTGACGTTGGAATCAGATAATAGAGGTTGTTAACGTAATCAAGAGTAGATCGATTGAACAAAGAAAGTTAACGATACTACAACACATTGAGAAGCTATTAAGGAAGAATTGGTTGGTTGATCTGAAACACATACCAAAAGAGACCAATGACATTGCATATCTCGTTGCTAAACATATGTGGAATCGTCAGGAGGATTCTGTATTTTTACAAAATCCCCCTAGGGAAGCAGAGGATTTGTTATTAGTTGTATAACAGGCAGCTAGGTTGTCCCATAAACCTATTCTCAACCAAAAAAATATCCATTTGTAATAATATTTTAATTAAATAATATATTTATAACTTTTATTAAAAAAAAGTGGCATGTTTATGATGAAATCCATAATTCAGTGAGCTTAAGTGTAGTTTAACCATGGTTAAGCTTAAATGGTATTGTTGAGCAATCACGTCAGTCAGCCATGAAAGTCTTTGTGGGCGCTTTCAATATAATGAGGCAAACCCAAGGACACAATTCTATCAGCAGATGCAGAAGAAAGCAGGCAGAAGAAAGCAGGCAGAGGAAGTAGATTTGCATAAAACATTCTGATTTTAAAACCATTTTTGTTTTCTAAATCAGAATTTGATCCAACACTCTTCAAATTAACGAAAAAAGAGAGAGCTTATTACTCCTTTTTTCCTTCTTTTGTTCCTTCTCAGTCACTCTCACTTTCTGTTTTTCCCTCTACATTTGCATGCTAATGTTTCAGCACTGATGATGGAGATTCTGAACTAGTGGGGTTCCAGAATTAAAGATCACATCCCACTAAGAAAGAAGACTTCTTTTCCCATTTTTGGGGTTTTTTTGGTTTAAGGGTTATTTTTCTTTCCGTTTTTCCTTTCCGTGGTTTTGTAAATTTGTTGCTAAAAAATGGAGGCCACAGAGTTGTAGCAAAGAGTGGTTTCATTGTGCCTTTTGGCCTTTATTTTCTGGGTTTTGGGGATCCTTTCTTTAGCTTAAAGTTCCATCGAGAAAGTTGAGTTCTTTCGACAGCAGGGTAAAGCTCCCATTTTCCTCTATTATAATCTTCTTCTTCTTCTTCTTCATGTAATGTTTTGTTTTGTTTTTTTAAAATCTATCCTTTCATTGTTTTGCAGTTCAAGAAGTAATGGCAGACTGTGACCCTACTTTTCCATCTCCCACAGACAAGGTGCAGAAGAAGTCCACTTCATTCCCCAAGTTGCTCACTGGTTTTACTTTTAAAGCAATTTCTGATAACACGGAGTCAATTATGAGTCCAAAATCCATACTTGATAGCAAGCCGTTCTTAGCTTTCAAGAACCCTTTTTGGTCTGAATCAAGCACACCTAGAACCCCAGAACCTGAAGCCAAACACAAACTTGGTTCCAAAGGGATTGGTCTTGCCATTGTTGATTCTCTCAAAGATGATTGTTCTGATCCCAACTTGTCAAAACCTGTCCTTTTTGGCTCACAACTTAGGGTCCAAATCCCATCTCTTCCCCATGTCGTTTCTCCATCTGAATCTCCAAGAACACCACCTGAGCTTAGTATCAAGACAATAACATCCCAGTTGAGTTCCTTCTCTTCTGTCTTCATTGGTAATAGTCTCTCAGCTTCTGAAATGGAACTCTCAGAAGATTACACTTGTGTAATAACTCATGGAACCAATCCTAGAACCACACATATCTTTGATGATTGCATTGTGGAGACATGTAGTGGAGTTGCTGGTTTCTCTTGTTCCAATGGAACAAGTTTCCAACCAGATAATTTCCTCAGCTTCTGCCATGCTTGCAAGAAGAATCTTTCTCCTGGAAAAGACATTTACATGTACAGGTGTGTGTTTGCTTTTGTGTTATGTATTGATCTAATGTTTTTTTTCGCACATCTCTGAAGAAATTTCCCCATTTTTGCAGAGGGGAGAAAGCATTCTGCAGCAAAGAATGCAGGTACCAGGAGATGATGCTAGAGGAAGGGACAAATCAACTAGAATCTGATGACATCTACAAGGCATGATGCAGAGGGGAAAAAGTTGTTCATCACATTGAACCTTGTTTTCTGGTAATTGTAGAATTGGTTTTTCTTGCAAATGATAATCTGGGGTGTTTGTCAATAATCTTTTTCTGGTGGTAAATGACCAAATTCCAATGATCATCACTCTGATTTGCGTCTCAAAAAGAAAGCATAATGATCATACACAGTCTGCACTACATCTTTTGATTAAGCACTAACAGCCAATTACTTCATCTGAAGTAGATTCTTTTTTTCTCTTTTCACTATGCAGATAGCTCTATATTATATGTGTAGAACCCTGATGATGCCAAAGGATGAAATAATTGAAACTTGAGGCCCCACCTCACCACCCCACTTTCAGGTGGATTAATTTAAGGGGTTCGGGTAGGATGCAGGGATTATCATGGTCGGGTCAGGTCGGAATTTTATTATTAGAGTCTGATCTAAAAATTAAATCTCCCAACCTGCATCTACTCTGACTTAAGTATACGAGGATTTCACTTTATTCAAAATTTTCAAAATTTAATCTGATTTTTTAGATGAAAATTTGAATTTGATTCGATTTAAATAATATAATTTTTTTTATTAAATAAAATAAGAATCTAATTAAATTAATAAATAATATAGAGATTAGAGATAGATATTATTGTAATTATTTTTAAATTATGTAGGATTAGGTTTTTTTCACCTTAAATTTAACTCTGCTTTGATTTGAACTTAAATTAACTTCAATTTTAAAAAATGATTTGATCAAATTAAATCGAAATTCGTTAGATCTTGATCAAATACATATCCTTATTAGGGATGTAAATGAGACGAGACAAATCGCGAGCTACTCGAGATCGACTCGGTCAAGGCTCGGTAAATACTCGGATAGAATGGACTCGACTCGAACTCGAGCTCGAGCTCGACTCGAATTTTTAACGAGCCGAAACAAGCTACTTGATACTCGACTCGAAAAGCTCGTGAGCAGCTCGAAAATATAATATATTAAGATTTTATTTTTTAAAAAATAAATTATTATTAATATTAACATTAATGTGTTGAGTTTTTTTAAATATAATAAGGCTTTCATGTATTTAAGGTTCGAGTTCGAGTTTGAGGATTCAATATTGTTAAGTTTAAGAAAACTTTTCTTCATTCGAGCCTTTTCGAGCTGCTCACGAGCTTCAGTTCAGGATTTCGAGTTGAGTTGAGCTTCATTTCAGAATTTTGAATCGAGTCGAGCTCAGCAATACTCGAGTTCGACTCGACTCGTTTACACCCCTAATCCCTATCCCGTCCAGCTCAGTTGGTAGAGCGCAAGATTCTTAACCTTTTGGTCGTGTGATCGAGTCACGGTGGGCAATTCATAATTTTGACTGTCGGAGGTCTTCCACGGAAGTTGCTCTCAACCTGGCGTTGGGGGCAGCCTATTACTTACCTCCCCTCACCCTATTACATATGAGAATAAGGTCAGCTAATTTATAAGGGGCGGAATTAAGAAATTATTAAAGTAGGTTAAATTATTTTTTTACTTTTCATAAATATAATATTTTTTAATTGAGGAGCTCCTAATAAAAAATATATATATTTTTTAAAATATATTTTTCAATATTAATTAATGCTTAAAATAATAAGTGGAAGGGGCCAATGCTCCTCTTGATTCCCATGAGGTTCGCCCATGTATATTATCACACAAATATTATTTTATAGATTAATATTTGATTCATGATGATTGATGAATCAATTTTTTTTATTAATGGATAAAAAAATAAGGAACATTCGAGTATATTCAGACTCTTAAAAAAATGATATCTAGAAATTATTTGGTCAAACTATAGCTTCGGTCCTTCTAGTATGCTAAAATTATAGATTTTATTCTTTAATCTAACACAATTTGATCTTTTTATTTTTATAATGTCATTAACTAGTTTTTTTTATTGATATAATAGTAAAAAGAATCAGTATTTGTTATTTTTTTATTGCGCTGTTAAAGTTTTTTTTTATAATTTAAATCATAATATTTTTCTTAAATGTCTTTTCTGGATGATTAATTGATGATCATCATTTCTACTGATATAATATGATAAAATTAATAGCGTAATTGAAAAATAAATAAATGCTAATGACATTTTTATTATTATATATTTTCACTTTTGATTTATAATTGTATTTTGAATGTGTGATGTCATTTTTTTGTTGGTATAATCTCTCGTTTTCGATCTATTGATCGATTAATTTGGATCGGGTATTGCAAGAGTGAGGATGACCCTCTCAACCCAATTTGCTCCATTCACAAGCATCAGGATTCAAACTCAATACTATTTGTTTATTTAAAATAATGTTACTGAATGATTATAAAATATAAAAATATAATTAAACTAAAAAATATTAAATTCTAAATAAAACAATTATGAATCATATTATAATATTGTTTTATTTTTGTTAATCTTAATAACATTTTTTTAAATATATATATATTATTAAACTTATAACAATAAAATACGAAAACATATTAATAAATAAAGCTCCAATTTTTTAGTTTTTGGGATTACAATTTACAAGCATATCAATAATTTTAATTAGAATCAATTATAGAAAATATTGAATTTAACAACTGACTTAAACAATTAAATTTAATAGTTAATTCAATAATTTACTTAACCAATGAATTATTCATTCTCAATCGATTTTTGTTTTTGCTGGTATAATTGTTACTCTAATATTTAAGAGAATATGAGTCAAACAAGTTAAAAGATATATTATTCTTTGATTTATGAGTCAGATGAAATAAAAAACTTATTATATAATCTTAGTTTTTTTTTTTTTTGAAATTTGAAATTTTATATCACTTAATGAAAAGTTCCCACAAAAGAAGAGTAATAATATTTTTGACACCGTTTTTCGCCCGGGCATGGAAGAAACAGGTACCGACTTAGGGGTTTTCTTTGAAAAAGTTTTGAAATGTGAGGAGTTGCCACCAATTATTTTAAGATGCGATTGGGACACTATAAAAATTGGGTGATTTTAATAAAACATTTTATTTTTATCAAATTATCAAGTTTAGGGTCTATGAAAACCATAAAATAGATTCGGAGTCGGTTACGCGTGGGGAATGATTAGCACCCCCACAAGCGCCCAAAAATTTGTACCTGGTTGATTACCTTGTATTTAGAATTGAAAATTTTGAGTTCAAACTTTATTTAATTTAAAAAATCATTACGGATGCAAAGTTGAAAAGGGTATTAGTTTATTAAGGCAGATAGCATTCGCCCCTAGCACAAATGCGGGAGATCAGCTATTGTGTCTAATAACCAGTCATTGCCTTGATTTTAGAAATCATGATGCGGTCTTAAAATAGATGTCGACCTATTTCGGGAATCACCAATAGTCATCCCCTGAGCATATCTACGGGAGATATACTATCTAATCCCTAATAAGTTAACATTGCCTTAAAGTTTAAAATAAATGCAATCAAACAATTTTTTTATTAATCCTAATTAAACTAAGGATATATTAAGGCTTTCTCTAGCTTACGGGGTCAAATTATGAAAATTAAGGAACCTAGAGGCTCAAGCCTAAAAATGTAGGCTTTAATATTAATCCTACATGATTTTAACTAGTTATTGAATCAAATAATGAAGATGGTCCTTTGGCATTTAGGCGAAGTTCAACTCGAATTATTCCTAAATTAAAGAGACTAAATTGAAATTTAATCTAAAGTAGAAAGTTCTAACATTAAATTAAATTAATTTTACGATTTGAATAATTAAATTGGAACCTCGAGCAAAAGCAAGGACCAAATTAAGAATTCTCTTAATTTAATGACTAAATATGAATCAAATAATTAAAAGATTATGGACTAAATCTAAAAAAATAATCCATCAAGGACTAAATGGATACAAAAATTACATACAATTAGAATATATAAAAGGACTAAAATTAAAGTACTAAAAAATGAAGGGTAAAAATAAAAAAAACAGTAAATTAAAATAATGAAATTAAATAAATAAAAAGTAAATGACAACAATTTAAATGGGCATAAAATTAAATAACAATAATAAATGAGCAATAAAAATAAAATAAAAAGTTAATGCTAATTTTTAATATTTAATTCATACTGTAAATAATGTGAGTCATATCCCGGGACGGGTCGTCGCAAGGTCATATACTATGATTCGAACATAAAATAAAATACATAAATAAATAAATAAAAATTAGCGGTTAGTGGTTAGTGTTAGAAATGTTAGCAGAGTCCGAACCATAATAATGCGGGTCATACTCCGGATCGTGTCACCGCAAGGTCGTATAGTAATTCAAACAAATTAATAAAAATTAACATTTAGGAGTTAATGGAGCCTGGACCATAATAATGTGGATCATACCCCGGATCGGGTCACCGCAAGGTCATATAATAATTCGAATGTAAAATAAAATACATAAATAAAAAGTTTGTGATTAGATGTTAATAGAGTCTGAACCATAATAATGTGGATCGTACTCCGGATCGGATCACCTAATGGAATTAATACATCATATTCGAAACAAATAAATAATAATATGAGCAGTGACTACAATGCAACAAAATAATAAAACATCTAAATTATAACAAATAAAATAGCAAAATAGTGACCAAATCGAAATAAAATAAAACAGAGGGGTTAAAATCATAACAAATAAAAACAACAATACACTATGACCAAACTACAAATACACGGCAGAAGGGGACACATGTACGTGATTTACCCGCTAATTTAGGACTAAAACATGAAATCATGCTAAAAGTCCAAGGACTTTGCGTGATTTACCCTTTTTTTTAAAGCACAAAACTTTTCCCCTATTTCATGTAGCTCAGCAGAGAAGCTCCAAAAGCTTCCAAATTCATTGCCGACCACCGACCAACGCCACATGTGGGTGGCTACTCACCTCGGCCACCACCTATAGTTGCCAATGACCGTTAAAAACAACTAAAAATCGAACCCAACGCCCTTTCTTTTAAAAAAAAGCTAAACCAAAACCCATAAAACATTCAACCCCTAATGCATGGTCAAACGACCACCGACCACGACCCTCTCACCGGTGAAGGCCGACCCAACTTAGGTAGATCATTCTCCT